TGTTAAATATATTTTATAAAGATAATAATTAAGTATTCTGTTAGAACTCAATAATTATTTTTGATATATTTTAATTTTTTTATATTTAAAATGAAATATTTATCTTTTATTTGATTATTTTTATCTGCAGTTAATTACATGAATTCAAACATAAAGTTTTAACAAGTTGTACTTACGTATAATCTACTTGCAATCTTGAATTTTAAGTAATATGCATCAATAAACAGTATTTTGTGCATAAAAATGGTTTATAATATATATATATATATATGTGTGTGTGTGTGTGTGTGATTTTGTATGTTTTATTATTTATACATAGATATCATATATCAACTAAAATAAGTTTAATTTATAATAATATTAATAAATATTATAACTAAAATAACATTTGTTATCAAATAAATGAAAATTATACAGACATTAAACTTGCATAAATATTAAATACCATTTTTTTTGTACATTTCACCAACATCAGTTGATGTAGAATTGTAGTGAAATTATATGAAATTGATATAAAAATGGGATTTTAGTGATGATGAGATGTCCTTACCGAACAACAAATCCACACCCAATTTCTTGAATATTAAACATGTTTGACGAAATTACATATAACAAAAAAAAGTGTTTAAATATTATCATAGGATCTTTTTAAAATAATAAGTTGTACAAAATTAATTGTGCTATTAATTTTTATTTCAAATAAATATTTATTGTTGTAAAAGCACGACAAAAATAAACTTTACAAACTAATCGGAAATGAAAAAAAGAAATTGGGGAATAGGAAGCAAATATTAAAAGCGAAATCTAGATAAATATAAATAAAATAATCTCCAACTCATTGGTAAAAACTTCCTGATAATACTAGACGATCCGGGTTCAGATCTTTCTAGTAACAATTTCATTTAAATTTATTGACTATACAACTAAGTATTAAGCTAGTTGATGCCCTTAGGCTGCCGCTCGGGCTGTCCATGTCCATCATAGGGCCAACCTTGGCTATTTGGCTTCAAGGTGGACCTGGTTGCTCCTCCATGACTGGAAATTTCAACAGACTCGGTCCATGGCGAGTAACACCTTCTATGAAGCAAAACGACAAACACCTTGAGCCCCAACCTAATCCTGGTTCTCGAAACCGAATTCTGCCTTCATGTCTTTAGGCATGGCAACGGGGTGGGGATGGGACGGGTTTTGTAATCCCCGTCCCCGGTTTGTAATACCGTCCCCCGGCGGGTACGGGGATTATCATCTTGTCCTCGGTCAAATTCTAACAATCCCCGGTCAAAACCCGGTAAAAAGTATGCTTTAGTTTGATTATACCGGGGATCCCCGACTCCGACTCCGGCCCCGTTTTGAGTAACATTCCCCGTCCCCGGCCCCGTCCCCGCTTTGAGTCTACCGGGGATTCCCGGCCCCGGCCTCGGGACCCGTTTTAGCGGGGAATCCCCGTCCCCGTTCGGGTCGGGTGAACCGGGTTCCCCACCGGGTCGGGGCAAATCATCATCCCTACATGTCTTCGATAATCCAATTGGTACTGGCTTTAGTATCGCTTCGACACGGGAAGAGATCCCGACATACCAAGAAGCTGTAGCAAGGCATCTGTTCATTGCAACCAGAAAGTTTATTGATTTAGACCCGTTGTTTAAATCTCGTCCAAATTACATTACAGGTGATAGTTATGCTGAAACATACGTGCCATCAAGTGGGTAATATTTTCTAACAAGAAAACCCCTTTTACCCCTTTCGGAACGGGTCAATTTACATGGATTGGCTATCGGAAATGGGTTGGCTGATCCGGAAACCC